CACATATACCTGTCTACCGAATACATTTTCGGTTTACGAGTGCCGTAGACGTCACTCCCGGTTCTCTAACAATGCGCTAAAAAAATAGTCGCTTTGTTCAATTCCTGCCTGCCGCTACCATGTTTGAGGTCATACGTATTAATGCCTCCAATGATTTTCGAAAAAATATATATAGCGATTTCAATCGAAGTTATTTTCAGCACTTTCCTGTTTATTTTGCTTCATATTTTGCGGTTACAAACAAATAACTTCTTTCGCCACTAGTTTCATCGAAGCTTCGATATATATATTTTTCCACTTTCTTGAGCATATTTTCCATCGATGAGATAAATTTTTGTTTGTTATTTAGAGAAAATAATTAAAAACTTAACTATATAATAACAATATTTAGCGCTTTATATATGTATAATGTTTATTTTACCTAAAAAATAATGTATTACGCGAGAAGATACCAGTCATATTTTCTCCAGTTTTTTTCTTTCTCTATACAATATAGGTAATTCAATTTCTTATAAGCATCATAAATAAGCTGGAAAAAATATCTTTTATCTAATTATTTCACAATTTGAGGAAATATTTTTTCTGATAATTACAATAAGATTACGACGTAGGAGACAATAGTAAAAATTTAAATTTAATTTATCCCCACCGTCAATGGCCAACAATCTTGCTAGCCTGAATATCGCGATAACATTGAAAATGAGAACCACAAACGCAGTATATTTGAAGTATGATGTGACTGAGAATTCCGTACGGGCGAGCAGCGCATTCCGCGTGATATCTATTTCATTACGGGAGAGATTCCATAGTATTTTTGCAATTATATATAGCGATCATCGCCACTGGTTACACAGGTTATACCGTTCATATTGTGTTTGCGAATATTGTCGCAATATAGTCGAAATTTCTCGGGGACGGCCCTGTGATCGAATACTCGGACCAGCGACGTTAATTATCTTTAATCCAATTAGCTATATATTTGCATATGCCGACTACGATGTTTTCGAGCGTTCGCGTCTGCGTTCATTAGTGCTGTGGATGTGATGCAAATAAACGAAAAATGAGTCTGCAAGAGGTATGACGCGCTACCTGAAAAGTATAATTAAAAATTACATCTTCGTTATATTATATTCGCGATGCTTCTTTGCACGCTCGATGAAAAAATGGCTATGTATAAGTTTCCCTTTATATATTATCATGAATATAGGTATACTTTGCAATTTTTATAATTATCTAACAATAGGATAACGTATTTGAAATAAAATAAATAAAGTTGTGCAAAGGACAGATAACATGTACTCTCTAAAACTTTTAGAGTAAATCTCACTCGTTTTCATGAGATGTGTGTGTGTGTGTGTGTGTGTGTGTGTATGCGTGTGACTTAAAAGAATTTAAAAAGTTGTCTTTGAAATAAAAATAAACAAAAACGTGATATTTGTCCGTGATCATAAAGCAACGAATGAGAAAAATTAAACATTAGCAAAAAAGAAAATTTCAAATTGCAAGTTCTACCAGCAAACAGTAATGTCCCTAATTAAAAGACGCGAGGCATATGAGCGAGGAAATATTAAATTTTGTCAATTAAAGCCATTTCGTCAATTATTCCTAAATTAACGAGAGAACTTGTACGACGAACCTACTTTATCGTGTTTATTAAATTTCTTTGATCGTTCTCTTGTCCCTCCTTTCGCGCAAGAAGCGGTATGGATATATGGCATGCACGTATCTTATGAACAATACGGCATAGAATGCATATATTCGCTACTCTTTTCCCAACACTTCTTTATGTTTTTAAGAGCATTAAAAATACAACTAGTTGTATCTCTCAATAATAAAAATTTTTAATGTTATTCTGCTATATTAACAATAAAATCATTTAGAATGACATGTAAAAAAATATATTATAAGCGCTATTCATTTATTTCAGCCAAAGCAGTAAAGAACTTTTTCGAAGAATTTAACGCAGACTTAACTATTATGTATATATAGATATACACATATATATGTGTATGTAATATAAACGTACGTATAAACATTAGAAATAATGTATAAATATTTATATTATCATACTACGTAATAAAGAGAGAAAGCTAAATACCATTAAGTTATATGGTTTATACATAGCATTTTAAATCTCGATTATTTTGGTTTTTTTAATGAAAATTGTGGAGATTATTTTTACAATGAATAATAAAATAAGTAGAAATAAAATAATTTTTCTAATTACGAGGAATCCTACATTCGGTCAAAGTATATCTTAGTGCTTAAATATTTATGTGTGAATTTAATATAATATATATTATATCATCTATATATATATATATATATAATTTTGCAAACTGCGTGCGGAAATTTTTTTTAGTCTTGAAATGCATTTATAAGCAGAACCAAAGTAATAATACCACCTATTAAATTGACAAGCTATTTAGTAATTTCTTTGATGCATTTTTATAAGAATATTAATATATGTTAAAGAGAATCTAAATCTGCCAATAATTTCATTGCGAAAAATAATTTTTGTAATTTATTACAAAAGTTATTTTTATTATCTATGTCTCAGCATTAATTATTTATGCTTCTTACAGTAATACAATTTTAGAAAACAAACATCTAATTCGAGATTTATCAAATTGTGAAAAATAACAATTAATATACTACAATGTATTATACGGTATAATATCAATTTAATATTAATATATTAGCTATTTATTGTTTACAAATTACTAATGTATACGATGGTTCGTACAAATTATCGATGTAAATGCGACTTTAAATTCATGAAAGAATTTGTCATTAAAGTTTAATTTTATGGAAGTGAAATATTCTGTATATTAATTTGTGATATTAATAAGCCATTTAATGCACTAAAAGCTGAATAGTCCATATTCACCTATTACTTCAATAGAAATATCACTTTAATAAAACTACAAAAAATATTGATGCTCTGATCCATGTTAAGGGGGAGGCGGGGATTACAAGAGAAATTTAATTAATTACGGAATTAAAATTTCAGATAAAATTGATTAAGTTTAAAGTATACATTTTTAAATATCGAAAATGTATGTATTGAAACGTATCATTAAAGAGGAGTAGTTTGCAAAATAAATAATTAATTATGTTGAAATTTATATCTGAAAATAATATGTATAATGTAGACATAAAGTGTGATGAACTATGATCGTTTTAGATATGTGCGAGCAAATAACGAATAAGTCGCGCATTTTTATAAGGTAATACATAATAAATACAGTTGACTATAATACAAAATGTAACTATTTCCATTTGCTTTCTGTACGGACTGAAAAGCAAACGTGGCTACTCAAAGCGAATCTGAGATTTTAATAAATTAACATGAACATTATCCAGCGTAATTACAAAACTACCACGTTACACGCATCCCTTGTGATCGTCGCAGATAGGATGGAATGCCGTTCATGTAGGATCGCGCGAGATCGCGCGTTGGCGGGTCAAGCAAAGCGTTAGGAGCCATCGTGACTTCCGTTTGCGCTGCACGAGTAACGGGGGCTGCCGCGTTATAAAAAAGGGTAGCTATTGAATTAAAAGGACGTAGAGAGCGTATAAGGCGGGCTGCAGCGAGAAAGCGAGATCGCGGCCGGGCGATTCCGGTGTGTGAGAGAGAGAGAGAGAGAGAGAGAGCAGGCGCGCGCGCGCGCCCGAGCGTGGCGAGGGTGGAAAAGCGTATAGCGTTGGCGAGAGAGATCGTGAAACACCTTGATGCGGGAGCGAGAGATGAGACGGCGGGAACGGAGATAGAGCGATACGCGCGGGTTCGGGAAGGGGTGAAGAAAGGCGGAGGAAATGAGAAGAAGAGGGCTCTCTCTCGTCTCCTTCGGGCCGGTCGTCCGCTCGCTCATCTCTCCTCTCACCCGCGCGCAACGCCGCGTCGCGCCGCGCAGCGCGCGCTCTTGCCGGCCATAAAAATAAAATTTCAATAAATCTCCGCCGCGCGAAAACTAGTGGGGCATCCAGAGGGCGGGCTACCCGCTCATTGGAGCTGCGTTCGCGGCGGTTACCGCCTACCACAAAGCGGAGACGGCGAAAGAGACGGTAACCTGGATAGAGTTTACCTCGGGATATGGGCAACCCTCGCATGGCTACCAACCATTGCGGCCCGGCGCGGCGCGGGCGACAGAAAATCCGACGACGACCGGGATACCTCTGGCTCCGAGACTTTTCGTTCGCTCCCTGCGTTCGTCGCCACCGGCTGTCATACCTTTTTCTTTTTACTCTTCCGTCGAAGCGATCTCGCGTCCTGTTGGAACGATTGGTGAACGCGCGCGGTTACACTCAACTTTCGCGCTGCTATAATCGTGGCAACTCTTAACATAATTAAATGAATTTCCTAGGAAGAAACTTTCAAACTTTCAGCAGAAGAGAAGATATATACCTAAACATAATAGTCCTCTCTTAAGAGAATGAATTAATTCAGCACTATTCGAAATTCCACCTCATTATCGTCATCTTAATATTCTAGAACAAGTAATGGGTATCTCTAATTCAAAGTAATTTATATATATATTATTTTAATAATTAATATTTTGCTCCTACTGAAAATAAACGAATAAATAAAAATCTGATGGTTAAGTGCGAGAGTTGGAAGAAAGGCGCTGTTACGGCTAGCTACCTCCCTGGGTTCTAGTGTTGGATCTGAAGGATAGGAGCGATTTAATATCACGCCCACCAGCGGAGAACGCGAGGTAGTAGGGACTCTCGCGAGCCGGTGGTTGAAGCGAGAGATCGACGGTACACGCTTTGAAACGAATGGGATGTCGATATACCCGGCAAGCCGGCGCGAGTGGGGGAGTTCAGATATGGCAGTCGGCCAGTTCGCTGTTTGCCTTCCTGAGGCACGGGCCGGTCCTCAGGCTCGTTTCTGTACACCTAAATACTCATCCAGGAAAGGCTCCGTGCGTCGCGCCGCCAGTCGCAGTTTTTTTTCTTGTCCGTGCTTCCTCGAGAGTTGAGGGTGAGGTGCTCGCGGTGTTGCGCGGATTTCCGCTTCCGCGTGCTGTATCGGAGCTACGCTCCCGGGATTGAGCGGCATGCTCAACAATATCACCGCCGGTGGTTCCGTACACGGTATCTCCGGTAAGTACCGTATACACTTGAGTCAGAAAATTCCATCTGATTAGTGTGCCTCAAGGAAACTGTGCTCGGATTGTAAATAATTAGCGATCTCGAATAATACCGCCGATCTACATCGAACGTCAGTTAAAATAATCCTTGTGTGTTAAGACTAAGCTCCAATTCCCTTAGAAATCCTGAAGCTGGCCTAAATTCACCGATATCCACCGGTTTCCTTCGCGTTTTAAATCCTAGTTCTCCGGTATTGTCTTTAAACTCTGCTGAGAAGAATGGTTCAAATGTTCTCCAGAATAATTGAGTGTATTTTGGACAGGTTGTAAATACATAAATTTAACACGTAATTAAGAACAAAATTATGGACTGTATTGTGATTGATCCTTTTTTAACTGTGGATTAATTAAAGTCATTAAGTGTCTGTCACGTTCATCGTATGGATTATTATAATCATATTTTTAGCATTACAAGAATTAATCACGATTTAGTTATCTGTTATGTTACTATGTGATCACGCGGATCACTCTCTAATGTCTGAAAGATCATTATTTCACTTAATTATGTATAACAAATGCATTTCGATCACAAGCATTGAACTTGCGACCAGCCATTTTTCGGAAGCCATCGATGTCTTGCCGACGGCGCGTGGCTTCCGATTTACAATCCAGTGAGTTACATATATTGAATTAAAAAAAATTTTTAACCGGTGTGAAAAACATGTGTTCGGATCTGACACAGGTTTTCAAGATTAAGTGTCAGTCGCAAGAATATCCATCGATTTTAATAGTGGCCTATTTCATCTATAACATTAAAAACGGTACCGACAAAAATATTAAATTTTGCTAATTTTAGTAAAAATTGAAAAGCAATGTGAAAGTGAATAATAACAACAATAATAATGAATTTGAAATGGCAAAATTCGTCCAAACATGTTAGGTATCAAGTCCTGTTTTGATCGCGAATTTGGCGTTTATTTTTTAAATGTGCTGAGTAACAACACATTTTACTTATAAATAACATTATCGTGACTAATATAACAACAGAAAGAAATCTGATTGAAATTGAAAATTTGGTAGATTCAATTAGAAAGGTACAAATCAGATACTTATAACTACGTTTATCAAATGTTCTAGTCGAGACAAAAATTTAATCACAGCCAAAATTTTGATTAGAATGATAGAATACATTTATTTGTACTTATTGGCACAACAAAAAAACATTTTTCTCAGTGAATTATTAGCGCATTTCATCGTTGTGTTGATGTTATGAAATATTAAAAAGCAACATTAAACATCGCTTTTGCTTATAATTTTGCTTTTGTACCCGTAGAATGTAGAATGTAATGAGAGAAGACAGTGATGGCAGGATAATGATATAATAGTGTTAAATTTTAATACTTCAGTCTTAGACGCGGCGTCGAGTACTGTTGTAGCATCAGGTGTCCCATAAGAAGCGTATTTCTTTGCAGCTTTTATAAGTGCGCAAGCTAGTTTATTTCAAGCTTGGCGTGTCAACTTTTTGTTCACGTAACGTGGGATTATTATGTCGGTTTGCTACAATTAACAATCACAATTGAAAGTGACGTTGTTAATTAATTAGACGTTATTACGAGTACTACGAGTGTTCCCGGTCTAATTGTAAGCGTGCTATTATAGTAAAAGATATTCAAGATGAAATAAAATCTAACGGAACGAAATATCGAGCGTTAAACGGTCTTCATTAAATAGATTCGATTATAAATTTAGTTAATTTTAAATCCTTCTAAATCTTTCACGTGCGCATTACTATAGGTCACATAGCTCCGTTAAAATTAATTACTTGCCGTTTACGGCGAAATTTATAACAGAAATATCCGTATATCATCTCTCGGTATGTTAATTGTACCGACTAAAATATATAGAAAGTAGCGGTTAAATGTTAATTATTGATAGCGAATTGAAAAACAAGTAAACAATTAATAAAACGGATCATAATAATGCCGCCAAATAATTGTTACTAATATTTGACAGTTGTTCATATATTTTATACTTTGCATCATTTAATGCAAATTTTTACTCTCACTCATTTATTTTATGAAACTATTTTTCTAAAATTCATTTTTAATCTTATCAGTATGTATAACTCCATGCTTACAAAAAAAGATAAATTCCAAATGAATCTGGATTCCTCTTAATCAATTTGATTGTAGGGACTGTTTCGCCCGGCTAATCCACTGTGAATAATCCTACTACAACTGTGGATTGCAATTAATATCGTATAATTTATTACGAAATATTTATTGTATTGATAGATATTCACAGAATAACATTTCTTATATCAGTTTTTTATTTACTACTGCATTTACTATTTGCGACGTGCAAAAACTAATGTTTTTTAAAGAAGAATAGTCAACAAGATCGTTTTTGTGTCTACGGTTTTACATTAGACAATTTTTTTTGTATTATAAGATCATTAGGAATGTTAAAAATAATTATTATACGAGAAAAAACTCGAGCCATAAAACTAATTAATTATTAATCTAGATATATCACTATCATACCTATTTAAGTCCTTTTTACGACTAATAAGTGAATTAATAAGATATTTTCGTTCATTATACTACTCTGCCATCATGTTAACGTTATTTTAGATTATCTATCGTTCCTAAGATGAAGATGAATGCAGCTTATAGTGAAGAAATGAATTTTTTAATTACTCTTGATATATATGGGTATCTATCAAATGATACCCATATGCTGCAATAATGCGATTTCCAATTCCAAAAAAAATTGAAAAAAAAAACAAAAATCAAAAACACAAAAATTTAAAAAATAAATCTCTACAATGATTACAACCTTGACGCGATGTAAAGGCTTAAGCCTGTAGACAACAAATAGTGATCACCTGTCTGTGGGCCTCAACATTTGATGGGTACCGATTCATCAAAAGTAATAAAAAAATTCGTTTTTTCACTATGAGCTGTATTCATTTTCACTTTAGGGACGATAGATAGTTTAAAATGACGTTAATATGGTGGCAGAGCAGTATAATGAACGAAAATATTTTATTAATTCACTTATTAGTCATGAAAAAATGACTTAAGTATCATAGCGATATATCTAAACTAATAATCAATTAGGACTTCATGGATCGAGTTTTTCTTCATATAATGATTACTTTTAACATTCCTAACGAGCATACAATACAAAAAAAATTATTTGACGGAAATCCGTAGGAGGCACAAAAATGGCCTCATTGACACTCCCTTCTTTATGTCTATATAAAAATGTAATTTATTATTATATACGAATTATTTATCTGTAGATATTCATAGACTCGCATTTCGTATATTAGTTTTCTATTTGCGACGTGAAAAAACTAATACTTTTTAAATTTATTTTTATATAAAATGTATTTATCATCTTTTTGTGTGTGGCATTTGCATAAAATCATGTAAAGATATAGTTCGCTATTTTTTATAAATAATTAATTATTTATTATTTATTATTGTGTAATTAACAAAATTATTTGATTTTTATCTTATATACGTGTAAGAATTAAATAATTTTATTAATTATTTTACTTTTACATTGTATACATATATGGTATCGATAATGTTTTCTTTGATTACAGCAAGTCGTAAATTATGTTAATTTGGGATATTTTTTAAGTTAAGAAAATTTTTTTGCTACGAGTTATTTTTTAGAATTATAAATGAAAAAAACTGTCAAGTAGAGAAATTCAGGATGGAAAATTGTACAAAAGAATAGTGAGATGTGCCGGTAACACGTGACGTTGCACGTCTTCGATCTCCATCTCAAGAAAGCCGCTTCTCGAGTTTGATGATCTTAATTATCTCAACACTGATTACATTACGCGAGAAGTTGAGGAACGGTTTAGAGAGTTAGAATGTTGCAGGTGGTGAGAACTGAGTAAAGCGCTACACGTTAACTAGATTAAAAGAAAGTTATAGCTCTATTTTTTTCACGTTAAGCGTTGATTTTTTTCCATCATATTTACTCTGTCACCATGCGATTTACACACTTGTTTCTCGTTCAATTTTAACTTAACGTTACTACGATTATCAAATGAACTGAATAGCCACGACAACGCATACGAATGGCGAAAGGATTTCTTTTGAAATTAGTCATTTTCGATAAGATCTCGATTTCGTGCAAACGATCGTAATCGTTGTCCGGAGTAATTATACTTGAGTTTACGGAAACGTGATGAACGTCACATCGACGTCGGACTTGTTTCTCATAAATTGCTTTATATCTGTCTTCCGTCAAATAAGATCAAACATATACTTACTATAACAACCGGCCGATTCGCAGACTACGTCGATACGTCTCTCTCTTCAATTACCACCCTTCAATTTATCAAAAAATGAGATTTGGCCCTCGGGAACGTTGCGCGCATCTCGCCACACTTAAAGTGTGTCCGTTAAAATTTTTTATGATATACGTTAATTGCATTTGGTGCATCGGCCATCCGTTGAGACAACACGGGCATAGCTCGCAAGCGTGACACGCGAATAAATACGTCTGTCACGACATTTCCGGATAGTAATGTGATTTATGACTTTATTATTCAGACGTTTCAAGCGGGTGGCTGTCAATCACGGGGTTTTCAAATGTCGATAAACGCGCGGCCGAGCGTTATAAAAATTCCGTTTTTTTTTTCTACAGTCGCTTCACGTATCCTGAATTACCGCGATACTCCATGAGCGAAAAAATACACGTGTAGAACGAATGCTTAGCTGCGTCCCACGCGATCCTTTGGTGGTTAGCGTTTTAATTCGATTATTATCTTCGATAATCCGGTCAATTAATGCGGGATTAAATAATCTTTAACTGGAGGAAAATTATCTCGAAATAATACGGGCAATTACGCAAAGTAAATGTTAAAGGAGATTTCTTTTTTCTTTTTGGAGATGTGTTATGATAACTTTGTGATTCACGTGACGTTGGGATTATGCGCGATATTTGTATAACGGAGTTTATCATTGTTGCATACGAAGAATCTTGATGAAGATAAAAAATAGATTCATATAAGAATTCGAATTCTTATGAAATAAGGAGGCTTATAAATACTGGAATCATCAAATTATATATAATAAAATAAAATCATTAAGTTCTATAACGCGAATAAAAAGATCTATCATAAAATGACTTGTCATAAAATTCATTCATATAAAGGTATTCATTCAGTTAAGTTTTACTCCATGATGTCTTGGTAATTAAATATTGATTCTCGGTATTTCTATATGACTTCACATCTATGGTCACACAAACGAAACTAATAGAATATTTTATACATATATTCTATTCTGCATTTGCTTTATTATTGAAAGTATGCATATTTAAATCAAATTATTAAATAACGAATTTGTGTAAAATACAGCGAAAAGGTCTTCCAGGAAATTTCTTTTTCACATACAGTCAAAAATACAGTTTTCATACAGTCAATAATTCTCTTTATTATTTTTTAAAAATATTAACAATTAAACATTACACATAAATTTAGAAAAAGTATGACTTTAAGATCGTACGATTTTGTCAATTAAAAAAAAAACCTTTGCATCAAACGTCTAATTCTACAAAAAATTTATCACGCATATAAATGTCAATATAAATGTCAAAACTAATAATAACCGTTTTGTACGAGTTGTTACAGTGTTTCAAATCTTTCCTATATTTTTCGCGCAGCATCGCATTTATTCCATCGCATTTATTCCATCGCGCATTTGTCGCTCTCCGTGGGTGGAAATTTTTAACGAGTGGTCTTTTCCTCCTTGGTCGACGTAGAAGACGCATCATACGTTGTGATTGTACCTGACTAAACTAGTTTACCTCATTACGTAAGCATCTTTGACAATGCACAACGACGTGCGATACCTGCGATCTGACACATAGAGTAGTGTGGGTGTACTGATCTGAGATGGACACCCCCTCCGCTATACAACGATGCGTTCACATATGCACATGACGTACACCCGCGCGGTGCCACATACGCTCACAAGCACAGACACAAGGTGTACATGCATAGGTACGTTTATGCGCGTACATCTACTTGCAAACGAGTGCGTATTGAGTATTGAGACGTGTGTTTGCGCGCTTAGAAGTCCGGAGTATATACGGTGACGATTCTCGCACCTCCTCGCTAAGTGATCCGTACACCCCTCGGCCAGCTTCTGCTCCTATACAAATTTAAACTACGTAGACCGGGCGCGTGGGGCGGGCGAGCGAGAGGCATGTGCGGAGCACGAGGAAGCCCGGCAAAAAGAAAAAAGACGGGAGAAAACTGAAGCGGCGTGTCTTCTTTTTTTCTCTGCCTTCTTACCCATCTCGTCGCCGCTGGCACGTAGGAGCGAAGGATGCACAAGATCTGAAGCGGTACGAGAAGGAGCACGGCGTGCTGGGTGTGAATCTGGGCTCCGGTCTGTCAGCGGGTGGTGGCCTCACGCTTCATCAGGAACTGATCATGACTATGCCCGGCGCAGGTACGTAAGCTCGCTGTCGTGTTCCCTGTGAAACGTTTCATTTTGTTCAGTCAAGAATCATTCTAGAGACACAGAAAACCATTAATGCGAATCACGAGCTTAAGGATGTATTACATATATTTTTTTAATAAAATTAAATTATGAAAATTTATCTATATTGTGTTAGAAAGTAATGTCTATAGTTTGGCAGCAATTTAGAATCTCGATAATAAATTATTTCATTATAAGATGTGTTTTAAAAAAAATAATTAAAATGAAATGAGACAATTTTCATTCAAATTATGAACTTGTTAAATATAAATATTGACGTTAAACTGTTTCGTATATGTGTATAATATGTGTATAATATTCATTTTTATATGAAAGATTTAAATTTTTAATTCCAGTCACTTTTTGCAGAGAGAGAGAGAGTATACATTTAATACATCCTTAATCTTCCATCTCACAATTTTGATAGTAGAATAGAGTTTCACAACGCTAAAAAGGAGTGAATAAATAAAAGGGATTAGCACACATCAAGAATTTAATTGCTTTACTTTATGGATGCGTCTTTTATTTATGTTTTAAGATAGTATCGAAATCGTGAATGATTCGCGATTGTGAACGATTGACAGATTTCATCTGTTGATTTAACTAGCTGGATGATAATGGTAAATGGAAAGATGAATCGCATCGATTTTCCACGAATACTACATGAGCAACTGCAATAAGCGTATATGATATATTCCCAGAACGAATTGCGCGATGTTTTCATTATGAGTTAGAAGGCGAAACCATTTTGTTGAGTGCAATAGCATATTTTTATATCATTTGGGAGAAGTATTTAAATAGATTGAAAAAGATATAGCGCGATATTTATTTAACCGTTATTTATCAGCTTATATTTCGTAATCATCACGATAAATTGCAATAAAAGTGTCGCAACGTAAACTTAATATAACTTAAGATAAGTTAAATTTATTAATAATTCGAAACTGTTTAAGACCAAAATACGCAAATATACAGATTTAGAAACTCTTATTTAATAATAAAAACTACACTGAAAAAATGTACTAAATTTATAATAAATATTTGTTTAAATAGTATTAATTAAATGTAAACATATACTTATTTAGTACAAGACTCATTAATTCGATTTCACTATTTTTTTTATCGAGTAAATATTTATTTCTGTGAGTAAATGTTTAAAGTTGGTATTATAAAAAAATAGATTATATATATCATAAAAATAGATTAATTAAGATTAAGAAATTTTTTTCAGTGCAGAACAATATCTTAAATTAAAATATCAATTTTCCAAATTATTACTCCGGATTTGATGTTAAATTGACCACGTCATTTTCATACGTCACGTTAACATTGAAGTTATATAAATAAAACTTGAAAACGAAAATGTTGATTAAAACGCGCATTAAATACAATTAGTTTAAAATTTAGATATTGATCGATGTGCAGCACATGTTAAATTTAATTAGCGTAATTATGAAATATCTTATTATTAGCTTGAATATAGATATTAATCTAAGATATTTATTAACAATTATTGAAATTAAAATAAAATTGATAACTATCTATTAAATAAATATCTTGATATTATTACAATGCGATCTGTGAAGTAGGAAAAACCTTATTGATACTAATCCTTGCTTTGATCGATATTCCACACTTTTTTTTATATAGATGATTTTTTTTATGTCGATTAATTTTAAATAAATAGAATGTACACAACGTACATTTTATTTTCTATTTTTTAAAATGTAGAAGATATGGAGCAGAGAAAATCTGGTTTTATCTTTTAAATATAGCCTTGGCTATAAGTATATAAAGCATCCAGAAGGTTTGACGTAAACGTTTTATACATAACGAAAAATAAGTTTAAAAACTATTTTATTGAAATACAATTTATTTCTATAGCAATTGAATTATTTTATTCTTCTTTTAACTTTTATTATTGTTAGTACTCTTTTGAGGGAATAATTTGAGAGTGCTTTATACTTATAGCCAAGAGTAGATCTTTTCGCTTAACAATTTGTAGAACTAAGAGTAACCGGAGAAAATTCAATACTTTACGTTATTTAACCAAGGCTCTGTATTTTAGGTAGCGCGGTGGGAATCGGGCAAGGCGATGACAAACCTGCAAAGCAAAAGCGACATCGGACGCGTTTCACCCCGGCTCAGCTCAACGAGCTCGAAAGGTGTTTCGGCAAAACTCACTACCCGGACATTTTCTTAAGGGAGGAAATAGCACTAAGGATTGGCCTCACGGAAAGTCGCGTTCAGGTAGGTGTGGTCAAAATGTACACACTGCCGATGGTACGAAATAATTAATTTCAACATGCGCTAGAGAACTTATCGCGTGACTTCACATTGTGCCAGAATAACTTCTGTTATGCACGTTAAAATAGTTACAAATCAGCAAACTAATAATATTTGGACGCTTATTTAAATCGGCTATTGCATAAAAAGAGGACATTGATCAAACTTTCTTTATGATTTGACTCGGAGAAATTAATTATCTTTTACGCAAAAGTGTTTCTAAGATTTGAAGATGACTCGAAAATATAGCCAAAATATGTAATTCATTTGAAAGTTTTAACGTATGTAATGCTATGTAATTGATATCTTATCGCATTAAATTCCTTATTTGTTTTTACGCATTAATTTCTGTACTTGACTCTATATATGTTCTTATTAACTCATGTCGTTATTAATTACCTTTTTCCCAGAAAATTAGATTTAATTTCTTGTAACATATGCCGCTTTGTGCAATGACCGATTCATTTGTATAAGTGTCTCCATTATTGTAGTTGATTTATTATTGTTATACATATTATACATAAAATATAGATTTTTGCATGAGCAAAATAATAATACGCCGAACATAACAATGTAAGACCGTAAGGACATATAGTTTTGTAAAAATTTATAAATATAAAAAGATAATGTCTCTGACTGTAAAAATTTGGTGACCCGGACATATAATATTGATTTGAGCAATATTAAGGCTTTAAAAGTATCATAAATTGTTACCATACGGTGACCTCGCGGTTATCCTCAGAAATGTATACTAGTACCGGAACTTTGGTAGAATCAATTGTGCCGGCCTACCGCGGCTTTTTGGATTAAAGTGAAACTTGGAGTAGTAGCTAAGCCCTCGCCCTGCGGGGTTCCGAATTTTGGTGGGTTCCACTTGGTTGCAAGGCGACCGCGAAACTTTGCGGAAGCTCGCAAGTCCTGTCTCTGGCATCCGGGATCAAAGATCCAGAAATTTCAACCACGTTCCCTCAAAAGCTTCTCTTACGTATCAATCTATTAAAATCTTTTTAATGTAAAGACGAAAGATGTAAGGTGACTTGGGAAAAGACGCCATTTAAGTTTTTATTCTTAATGTCATACAACTTCTTAATATCATTGAACTCAGTTACGAAAAAATAATTATTTATATTCTAGAGACTTTTTTCTATTTATACAAATTAATGACGAAAATTTTTGATATTTTGGAAAAAATTAATATGTCATCCTAGAAAAGTGATATCTTGCTCTTATATTATATATACATACAGATAAGATACTATAAACAATTAAATGATATGACGCAATAAACTTGCATGTTTTACTTATCTGTAGTTTTTATTCGTTTAAACAGCATTTGATTAACTTAAAATAATTTGAACTGTATGAAGCATTCAAAATTTTAATTCATGAAATTGTTTTAATGTTGGTATTTTAATTAGGAAAAAAATCATGTTTTGTACTTATTATTATCTTCTCTCAAGTGTAACAGGAAGATGTCATTGTAACATTTATGCATATAAAACTATTACAAATTATATAACTTATATCAGTCATATAACTGCTAAGAAATACTAATCAAAACCGTATATTATTTGCTTGGTTTTACAATAAGCTGTATTTCGTCAAATCTTTTTCAATAATTGAACATTTCGTTTCCGTCGATAATTGCGTAACTGTTTATCACACGTTGGTGCACAGTCAGAATGTCCAACGCGTTTCTATGAAAAAAAACTATAAGCAAAGTGCGTCTTTCTCCTTGTTGGTATCTCCCCTCGAGTCACCTTATAAGAATCAGAAAGAATGATTTTGAAAGATCTAAAATTTGCTGGATACAGATCTAAAAATAATTTTATTAGAAATTCAAACTAATTGCTAGAATATAAAAAATTTTTGTAACATTATTATTTTTTTAAATTCCTACATATTTTGATGGTCCAACGAAATTATTTTTAGATCTGTATCCCGCAAAATTGTAGATATTTCAGCAAATCGTTCTTTCCATGTATATATATATGTATATATATATATATATATGGATTTATTATCAATTACCATAATTACACAGTTTAAACTTGTTATTGTCTAACATGTAATTCAGAGATAAGTTTTATTTTAGAAATAACATTTTTAGAGGAATGATTTAAGAGAGAATTAATTATACTGTCTTAATATGCAGAGGTGTAACGAATCAAAAATAGCGGATATTAATGACAAAAATTAAAAATAGACGCTTCAACAATAAACGTCGGATCAAATTAAAAAAGACACAGTAAATCGAGGCATCTTCCGCATTATAATTTAACGAGCATAATGTGTTTTTGACAGCAAGAATACACTCATGATTTCCGCGGTTTATCTAAATACGAAACTGACGGAAATCTCAAAATTTATGAAACGAAAAGGCTTGAATTTCTCTGTCTTATTTATCTAAGAGTTTATCGACCTCTTCGTTTGATTATTAGCGCGTATTTGATTAAATTTCCGAAAGGAAATTTAGCATACGATATCGCTCCCTTACTTCAAAAGGAATACAACTAAAAAACCAATTTTCAAGTTATTATCATGAACGAGTTAAATAAACATTACCCTATCAATTATTAAAAGTGAACTTAATTTTATAATCAAAATCGTGACCACAATTTAAAAGGGCTAAAAAAATGATCAAGGTTGTCATACAGCTTAAAAAGGGTGTTTTTAAAAATTATGAAATGAAAGTAACAAAAATGACATTTGGTCTCATATTAGAAACATATTATTTTGCTGATATTATTTGATTATAAGTTATTAATTTTCTGTCAAGTTGAAAAATTGTTGTCGTTTTTTCTGAAAAACTTTTTTTGTTACTTTTAAAAACAAGAAAGCATTATTCGCTTTAAAATGAAAAGTTTTACGCAATAATAAAACTCACAATCAGAACAATAAAGAACGGTCACTAAAAGTAATGAAAATTAATAGAGAAAATTATAAACTAAGATTCCATTTTATTATGCTTGCAATCAGTATTGATATTATTTCGCTTGGTTAGAGGATCGAAAGGAAACTATTTTGCATTGAAACTAATTTTAATAAGAGGATAACATTCTTAAATATCAATTACTCATGATCTTTACGTTTTAATGATAATTTTATGCGTTAAGTTTTAATTTAAAACCATACAATGCAGCTGGAAAATTATCTTTTCGATCGGATTTGACCAGCGCGATAGGGCGATTTTGACCTCCCCGCGGGCTATCAGCTGACAGAACTTTTTTAAGTCTCCGGGGCACGTCTAGAAAAACGGAGTTAATAGAAATTCATGAAAATTTTATTCGCAACTTGGAGGCGTCAGTCAAGCCGGGCGTTGTGCCGCATACCAAGCAGCCACGCTCCCTCTCGCGTGCGCGTATATAAATTCGCACATGCGATTGGCCGGATATGACGCGTATCCCCGTACTTGTTCGCTGTGTAACAAAATCTGTCTGCATGGCGGAAACAGTTATCTAGATATCGTCGATTAAGAGTACTTTAAGGCTACTTTACAATCGAGATAATCTTATTGTTAGTCACGTAAAAAAGAAAAGCTTCTGCAATCAGTTGAGATATACTTCGAAGTTCGCAGCGATTTTCGTGAACTTTAATTTGCGTCGCTTATAAATTATTTTTCCACATGCTGATCTCATTCCGATATCATTTTTTCATTTTATCCCGTACTTATTACATAATATATATTTTTAAGAAGTCGATATTTTCTTCTATTGCAATATCTGCTTCTCGACTCGTAAATTTTATCTCACAATTTTATGTCACATGGAAAGAAAGATTTTGTTAAAGTATATAAAAATTTAGGTAGATAGATTTGAAAATAATTTTATTGGTCAATCAAAATAATTAGAGACATCCAGATGATTATTAGAATATCAAAACTTTTTGCCACATTGTTCATTATGTTTGAGCGTTCTACGCAATTATTAAGATGGTCCAACGAAATTATTTTTATAGCTGTATTTAGTTAAATTTTGGAATTTCAGAAAAATCGTTCTTTCCGTGCAGACTCGCGTGACATATTGACCTCGGCGCGCACTTTCCGATTTAACGAATTAGTGATTTCAAAGTCACCCGGGATACTCGGTGACTTCTTCACCTCGGACTCTATATAGTGATGCGTGTCCGTTTCGGCGAAGCAGGAAACGTCAGGCGAGAGGAAATTAAAAAAAAAAGATGAAAAAGAAGAAAAAAGAGAGAAAGTAAAGGGAACGGGAGAGAAAACGGACCGGGATTCGTGGGTCTGTCGGGCGGCAGGCTGCCTAATTGAAAGAGGTTTTCTGTGGGCGAGGGTAGACATCAGCGTGAACGAAGCGTTTCCAAGGAAACCCGGCGGCGGGCACTCGTGTGGAGAGGGCCTTCGGCACCAATGGGGCTGCGAGGGAAAGGCGCCGGCGCTCAGCATCGCTATACTATCGAGCGTTGCTATCAAAGGTTTCTTGACTTGCCATGGCGGATCCATCGCATGTTTTAAGGACGGCCGAATAATCCTTTTTTTTTATTTTCCCTTCCTTTTATTACTTTCGCTTTGCCCACCGATTACATACCACGCCGATTATTTCGCAGTAATGAACTTGAATAGAAAAGATCTCGATGATGCGCAGCATCATCCCCTTACTGCAGCACGCGTCACCTCATCTCACGCTCTGGGATACCTAAGTAACTGTGCGTTTCTCTTCAATTATTATATAAGTCTGCTTAAGTTTAAAAATTCCAAAAATATTCGAGAGAAAAATATTCGGCATTGTGATTATAATTGCATGATAAAATATGCATGAAAAAATTAATAGCTCCATTTTTATAATTATTACTACTATAATTTTAGTAATAATAATTATATTTACAGTTTTACCAAAAAGAATTAACATCGAAAATGACTATAAATTATAGTTAAATTATGTTAATTGCAACAATTTTTTTTCAATGTATGCGCACGTATGTTAAATTACAAATTGCTTAGGGAT